CCAGGACGTTACGTTAAAGGGTGCAGTGACACGCGCCTTCAGTCATTACAACAATTACACATCTAGTGTTTTTATACTGGGATGAGAGATGCGTACTTACACCTGCATATTTGAGCTGAAAACGTTGCACAGGAGATAAAAATAGCTTTAAGGGAGAGGGCGACAGAGAATGCAGTCTCTTGCAAGACAGCGCGGTGCTCATGTAAGCACTGCGCTGCATTCATTTAGATTTTCCAAAGAGTGGTAGTTATTCTTTTCACGCGCCGGGTAGAGAGACATTCGTTTTGTCGGGCATTGAAATGATAGGCTGAGCAGACTGGTTGTAAAATGGCAACGTTGAACATCACGGTGAATACCAGAAGGGAGGGAGGGAGGCCGTGTTACGGTAGATGGTTTAAGGGAGGCATGATTTACCAGGGTGGGAACAGATGACAGACCATTACTGCTTGGATTTTGAGCTGCTCCCTCCCATGCAGAGACACTTTTCCCAAGCCATTTGTCGTGGTTAATTTTAGCATGCGCACCACTGCGGATAAGTTATGGATAGACCATAGCGGGGACAATGAACATTATACAATGTGGCCTCCTTTTGATGGCGAAATTTTAGAAGTGCTACGTAGGATCGGTTATTTATTTTTAAAAAATCTACTCTCTTTTACACGGACTAGCTTGTGTGTCAGGATGTACTATGTTCAACTTCTTTCGCGCCGTACGTAGCCAACCGTACTAATAGGAGGTGCTTTAAATTTTCTGCTTGACTTGGTCAATGCTAGGAGATCATATCCCACTCTGGCTTTACCATACTCAGGTCAGAGTAGTTTCCTGATAAAATGAGCATTGAGGTGTGCTCCTCCCCGGCTTGCAGCCCTGATCCAGTGGCAGCATTTCCACATTCCTATGGCGGTGATGAGTCGTTCCATAGGACAACCACTGTCGACTATCCCACGAAGTTTTAGCTTATTTTATTGACCCTCGAGGGATGATGGGCCGAGTCAACCCTCAACGAGGATTTGAATGGAACGCGCTGGCGTTGTGATTGCAAGCAGCTCGCTCGAACGCTGGCGCGCCACCTGGCCGGCAAGTAGCTGCTATCGAGTGGGGGGCAAGAATCGATTGCCTAATGAATAAATTAACCTCTCCAATAGGAATGTGGAAAATCCACCAGCCGCTCGGAGCTTCCCATAGAGACCTGCCCTTGCCCGATGCACCGAAGGTGGTTCCGTGGCGGCGGGTCGTTTGTAGATCCTCCTTCCTCCTCCTCCGTAGGGGTCACGTGGCACCTCGATCACAATCAGCCCCCCCCTCCCCCACCGCCTCCTCCACCACCACGAGAGTCATTGCGACGAAGTCGACACTCACGGGCCAAACGGGGAAGGATACGATTTTAATAATGCAGCCGTCTTGACAATTCCTTATTCCAAAATTCCGCGAGGGAATTGTAGTTGGAAATCGGCACGTTTATGAACGCGACTCGGCGGTACGGGAGTGTCGGGTGAGACGCAATAAAAAAGGGTAGAAGATGAAATCCAAACAATAATGATGACTAACTGTACTTTCATCGTGCACGGCTATTCCGAGTGTCAATAAGAAAGGGGCACACACATGATTTGGAATTGGATCACTATTCTTTCGGAAAAAATCCTACCAATTGGAATAAACGTAGCAATTGTTCCTCCAAACTGCAAATAACTTGGCAATAGCCTCCTAAAAGAGAGGCGTAAGACTCCGTGAGGTTTTGTTAGGTAAACATAAAAATAAGAATGTGAATAAAACACCCTTGCATCTTACTCTCTGCATCATATGATAATTATTATGAGAAGTTATTTTTTTTAAGAGCACACTTTGCACCAAATGCCTAACATCATATAATCTCAAGACCTTTGAAAGGGCACCCCCCCCCCCCCCATTTGGCAGCTGTCCCTGTATAGCACAAGTTGACTCGGCACATAGCCTCCCATCAGACATGAGTCTGCATAGAGAGTGAAACTGCTTTTATCCCTGACGATGCATGGCGTGGGGGCGGGGCGCTACAGCGTTGGTGATAGGATGACTGCTGCACGATAAACGATCACAAATGGTAATTTGTGAGAAGTGCAACTGAAGTGTTTTCATAGCAGGAAACAATGTCGTTCGCAAAAACTCTGCACACTCCAGCCTGAAAAACGCCGTCTTCCCTGATTGCTTCAAAGTAGGGTAGCTCTCATTACTCTGATAGTGCATTGAGGCTAGGCTCGAAAGAAAGCTGTCTCTGGTGTGGACCAATCAGTTTCAAAGACAATGCATATATTATCAGAGTATGTTTTTTGTTTGCATTCTGACCACAAGTATTGTGGTTAATGCAGACATGATTCCTTGTATAAGGTTTCTGTTTGGTGTTTTAACAGAAAAAAGGTAGAAAACCTATTCTCATATCAGGGTAACTGCCCTGAATATTTTCTTCTTAAGTTTTGTGCGTTTCTAAAGAGGAAATAAAATGTTAATATGATTAAAGTCAATCCTCAAATGAGAGTTGGACACTACTGATCTCTGTTGACAATGCAATATATTATTTTGCGTAGTTGTGAACATGTATAACAAAAATAAATTAGCCGACAATATACCTTCTTTCCATACCTACTTTTCCATTAAAAAAATAAAAGCATATTTTTACACATCCCCATCAGCAGTAATTGTTCTCGCCATGTTAACTAATTCACCTGGTGTACATGAGTTCGTGGATTCAAACCCGACCCTGACGCCTGTGGATGTTTCTCCGGGTCCTCTGGTTTTTTCCTCTACATATAACATCAACATGTGTTTAAGGTATGTGGCTACTGCAATTTTCCATATGATAAGCCACTTCATTGAGCTATGCATTTGTGGTCAGGTCGCTTCTGAAAAAGAGCTACATAGCTCAGTGGGCCTTACCTGGTAAAATATGAATGTTTTTTTTTTTACTCTGGACCAGTTTCGACATTCACTGCCTCGTCAGCATATGCTTTCTGGAACCAATGCTGGTGATGATTATTTCATATTGGCTAATGGAGATTTCCTTCATAGGAAAAAAAACCCACTGTGAATAATATTGGTCAACTATTTTTAGTTGAGTCAAATGTAATATGGGTGGTTCAAGACATTATGCAGCTGACGTTGCTTTGGAAGTGTTATATCTGAAAACTGTGTGTACAATACTCGACTCTCACGTTTGCCACCCTGATAAATGCACTCACAGGTCAGTAGGCCCGACATGAGCTTTATCAAACGAGCCACAGTAGTCACTAATATCCGATCACTCGAACAACAATCACGCGTATAAACAACATCTAATCTCACGGTGAGTTTCTTCTGCTTGGGACTTGAGAATGCTAACGACAGCCCTTTGATAGTATTAGTTTGAATCCGACTAAGACAGAGATTTTGTTGTTGTAGTAGAGCACACATACATATTCATTTGGGCCTAATTTGCAGCAATGGTTTCTCTTAATGTCGCAATGTCATCTGCACGGTGTTTACATTTGTATTCAAAGCACGTCTCAGAGAAAAACCATCTCCGTGGCATTTTTATTGATGGGGCCGGTTCATAAAATTGTCATAATGCTCACTCGTGTAGGCAAGCGTGATGATGTAAACCGGCTTATGCCGACATTTAGCGTCCTCATAAGCATCCTTGCGGTAGTTACCGAAGCCCTGTGCATAACGTTGGACATCGCTGACAGCATTAGACCCGTACATCATTCGAAGGTGCAGGCGTGTATTTTATAGCAGCTGCCTATTTTTAGACTCCATAAATACACGCGCGGTTTGAACCTCCGCTTATCAGGTGCCGCACGGTGCTGTTTGTTGGCAGTTGACATGAATTGGTTCCAATCAAATGCATTTACACGTGCACCAGCCATGCAGCTCCCGATTTATAAGCTCGGGCAATATTGGTTTGAAAAGTTGCTTACTTGTGTCAGGGGCTTGGTGAGAAGGGCAAATGAATTCGACATTGTAGAAGAAATATGCGTGATTAGAGGCCAGATTAAAATTGCCATTTAAAGCAAAGTGAGAAATGTAGCCCGGGTTTGCATGTGCACACCGATATACTGTGCAGTTTAGTTTAACGACAGCGTTTCTCTTAAGTTGCTACAACATTATACAATGTTGCGGTTATTTTAGTGAGAAATACGATTCTACTTAAAAAATTAGGTGAGAATTCGCCAATCAAATTACTTCATTTGATTGGATAAGTAGTCATTGAGATACTTTTTTTTCAAGGAGACTTGAAAAATATAATTTAAAAAAATAATAATCACGCTTTAAATCCCTTTGGCAATCCATTGCCAGATTAAGGACTTCCTACTCTGTGTCAGTGGCCACACTGGTCAGTATGGGGTTTTGACTGGGGTGGTGGACTCAGGAGGAATGGCTGCCAAAGACCACGAGATATCGATTTGGTTTCTAGTTTTTAAATAGTTTACAGCTTACTCGCCACTGATGTTAACCGTGGCAGAGAGTGAAACTAGTGTCCATGTGCAACAGTATGCTAACCACTACACCTCAGCAATATTTCAATCATAAAAAGTATTCCAGTAATTTGTTATGATTTTGGTTCAAAGTGATATTTTACAATAAGGATGCATGAACTATCAAATCAGAAGAGTGAAAATCTCACCCCACTCAATGAACATTGGCATTCCTGATCCAGTGGTGGTAATTCCACACGAGCTATAGAGCAACTAATCTTCTGACCAGGGCACAACATCTTATAACCAGAACACAAAGGCTTATTGTTGAGAACGCTGTCATAGAGAATTTCATGTTCACTGTACAGCAGAGTGCACTTCAGTGGTGCTGCAGTTTAATACATTTCCAGCATGGGTGTGGGAATCAAACTGCTGGCTTGACACAAACGTGGGCCGCAGAACGGATATGATCCATGATGAGGACTGCTACCTTTCCATATCGATCACCGTACACAGGCTGTGTCTACAGAGATGCACTTGACATGAAGTGCTTCCTCTCCCGTTTGTCCCCCGCAGGACTACACGCTCACTATGTACTTCCAGCAGTGCTGGACGGACAAGCGGCTCTCCTACACGGTCATCCCTCTGAATCTGACTCTGGACAACCGCGTGGCCGACCAGCTGTGGGTGCCCGACACCTACTTCCTGAACGACAAGAAGTCGTTTGTGCACGGCGTGACGGTGAAGAACCGCATGATTCGCCTTCACCCGGATGGAACGGTGCTCTACGGCCTGAGGTGCGTTCGCATCTCCACCCGCCGGCGCCACGCGCTCGCTCGGCATGTGTGGAGTGCGCAGAATCACACTTTAATTTTTATTACTTATTACTATGTAACGCCCACTGAGCTGTACAGCTCTTTTTTTCAGAAGCGACCTACCCACAGATGATAGCTCAACGATAAGTGGCTTATCGCGTGGACATTTATAGCAGCCAAATGCACTGAATGCGTGATGTTGATTCTAAATGTGGAGAGAAAGGAGAAAAACAGTGGACCCGCAAAAATCCACGTGACCAACGGGGAAGGAGACACCACAAAATGTACAGCAGACATCAGAGTCGAGATCGACCGCATGACGTCCTGCATACCAGGCGAGGTAGTTAACATCTCGCCACCGTACCACCACTCGCCACTGTCATTGTAGCCAGGGTAATTTTTAGTAAAAAATAATAATCACGGCCGAGGTTAAGGGGAGAAAATGTTTTTTGTTTATTGGAATGAGGAATTGCAGAAAGCGCCGAATCGAAAGTGCGATGTGTTTCAGACCCTCCGAGGTTTTTGTCGACTTTGTTCAAGCATGCGATTTCCATGACCACAGTGTCCTCGGAGCCAAAGCTGGAGCTGTATTCATAGCATAATCTCATATTTTGTACTTCCAAAGAAACTTAATTCGCTATGGGGACCTCATTTGCCAGTAAAAATATGATAATTGGTTCGTTACCCTTCTATCTGGCAACAAAACTGACACCTTTTTGCAAGGAGTCATGTTTGCATAGACCGCAATACCTGCAGTCATAAATACAAACAAAAGACATAACTCTGATAATGTGCACTGTCCTTGAAGTTGATTGGTCCACACCCGAGACAGCTTTCCTTCGAGCCTAGTCTCATATGGGTTGGACCAGATGACGCCAAAAGGCGCCTTTTGGCGTCATCTGGTCCAACCCATATGAGACTAGGCTCGAAGGAAAGCTGTCTCGGGTGTGGACCAATCAACTTCAAGGACAGTGCACATTATCAGAGTTATGTCTTTTGTTTGTATTTATGACTGCAGGTATTGCGGTCTATGCAAACATGACTCCTTGCAAAAAGGTGTCAGTTTTGTTGCCAGATAGAAGGGTAAAGAACCAATTATCAAACTTAATTCGATTACGCAATTATTTTTTCATGCACGGTTTCTAAAAAGTAATATGTTAAGTCGATTTAATGTGGAAAAATATCAGCACTCTACTCTAATTAAAATGCTTTGTCACACGAGATATGTACACTTTGGTTGCTGCTGTATCGCATTCATGCAAACGGCTCATGCAATTGAAATCGTCGACTATTTGTGTTGGAATTATTTTCCAATGAATAAAAAAATCGCAAATCAACCAATTGGTATACACTAAAGAATATATACAAAATAATCTGATTACAAACAGGTAATTGAGTAACAGCACGAGATTACTTGTGTCTGCTTTTCTTTATATGATTATGATAATGCGATCCTTTTTATACGTGTATCACGTTGCTCTCCAACGCTGCAGATCATTTTCAAAATCAAACATTCACAAGACACAAGAGACTGTAGTATTCCAAAATCAACCAAGCAAGGAATCGGCAACTGGCCTTGTCTCATCAAATTGCAGATTACAGCCTCCTTCTATAACAGTGCCTCCAAAGTAGAGGGAGTTGACTTTACTAAAGCAACACATATAAGCCCATGATGACAGTATAGGGATGTTCAAACACTGCCGATGAGTTACTTGACTCCAAACATATGTGTGGTTGTCATGCGTGATGTTGAAAGCCGCATGACCTTACAAGGCTATTTGCTGACACAGCAATCCCTGAAAAGCCTTAGTTTTTGGTAATATTGGTGCCTTCTGTGCATATACACACCCTCTGCTGGGTTTGCATGGCATTGTGTTTTTTTTTACCCAGGATATTATGAGACATAAGAACAATCCACAATCATGTGTATAGAGGTGGCAGCATCAATGTATTGTACCTATTTTTAGGTTTTTTCGGTAAAGTCACGTAGGTAAAAAATTAAAATTAATAAAAGTAAAATAAAATAAAAATCACGACGTTTCGGAGGCAACACAAAAGGCTGAGCCTTTGTTATGCAGTCTATTCTTAGTCAAACAAAAGGCTGAGCCTTTGTTATGCAGTCTATTCTTAGTCTTAAGCCTCACCTTACCATATTAGTAAAAAAGTGTGCCGTACTTGGCCCTTCCCCTCTTCAACCATTATATATACGGAGTGGTAGCTCTTGTAATCTCTCATTTACTTGATACAGCTGTCGTGGCTGTGACGGTTCCACCTGAAGACGGAAGCTTGTGTTGCCTCCGAAACGTCGTGATTTTTATTTTATTTTACTTTTATTAATTTTAATTTTTTACCTACGTGACTTCACCGAAAAAACCTAAGAATATGAATCCTTGCTGTCACGAAAGCTTCAAATCTAGAAGTATTGTACCTAATTCAAATTTAGGCTTTTTTTATTACTTTCCTAAATGCCTTGACAGCAGTCATAATTAACGTATGAAAATAACCCATACATGATAGCACAAGCCTTTGACATCCTTTAATGGCCTGTGTCATAGCCACTGCGGTCATCTCCTCTTTAGTTTTTGCCGAGGGAATGCACGATTCTCTTTGTGCGTCTGGAACTCGTGTCCTTGCAGTTGGCCAAGGGTGGATTACCGTGCGTACAAATCGGCAAACACAAATTTCTTTGACAGGTGCCATATTGAGACCGTCAACCTCTCGGATAAGCCAAGAAACGTGGTTTATCTTCGGTGAGGGCCTGCGACTTGAACCCCTCAGCTCAACACTGCTGCCTCAGGAGCTCGCACACAGCCACTGAGGCCAAATGGGGAAATTGTGGACACAAGAGACTCGTTACACGGCAGAGAGGATAGGCAGCGATTAGCAAGGATTGCATGGACAAACACACATCTGCGGCACAGCAATTGATGGATTACAAGAACAATGAAGCAGGCATGTCCATTTCAGCTGGAACCACATGGATTACGCTGACACTTGAGAATGTGTGTCCGAGGTGGAGGGTGAGGTTATAATCTTTTGACATACAAAGTAGGAAGCATCCAACTCACTATCATCGTGCCCTACATTTGCTTTAAGCATGGGCTGTAATACATCTTGTGTATTTTTCGCCCTCAAAAAGCAACACGGCGAAGAATGGGAATCATTTGTGATACAAGTCGCACAGGGATGCTGTCGCGGCGGAATTGGTTAGCACACCGGACTTGCAATCCAGGGGTTGTCGGCTCGATCTCCTCGCGTGGTCGTTGACACGATGGCCAGGAAGGCTACGGCGGTTCAGAAGGTGTTTCACTAATGAGCTTGGACAGGCACGCAACAGGAGCCAAGGAAGAAAAGAGCCAGACAGCAATGACGGAGCAAAATATCTCAGAGAAGAACGGGTGAGACTGACCGATGTCACTAACGATCGCTTAAGAGAAGCGGCTCTTTCGTCGCTGATGAGCTGACGGCAAGGACTTATAATGGCTCGCAAAATACTAAACACCTCACATAACCTCAGTTTCCTTTTGTAATGGAATTAAATTTTAAAAATGAAAGAGTGTCTTGGGTTGGAAAGCATTGCCATGGATTGTGGTGCATGCTTCCAATGCAGCGCTTTCGAAGAGGCATTGGTGGATGGCTTAACAGAACCCATGATGTGCGTGCGATTCCAAATCCACTGGCCTCCGATATTAGCGAGTGGATGGCTACAGAGAATGGGGTTACTCACGTATCTGTATAGATTTTGGGTGTTATCTACTCTTCATATGTAGGGCTTCTGTGGATATTCTGAGGGGGTTTTTTGGTCTCATTAACACAAACTCGTTAAGCAAATGGCAAAACATCCTTCATGTGGAACCCTCCTAAAAGGAGCCTTGACCCTCCTGAAAAAAAGTCTTAAGATTCGGTGAGGTGTTCCTGGGTAAACGAGTGGCATGCTTTCATGTATTTTTTTTTATTAGTTATAGATTATTAAAGGTATCTCATGACGAAGCTGTGTAGTATTCCATGACGGTGCTGGTTCAGCGGACGAGGAACTTGTGTTTGTTTCCGTATAGGGAAGGACGATACACAGGCAGTGCTCGTAGGTTCCCCTTTGACTAGTCACGAAACAAATTATTTACCATTTCTCCTGAACTGTGCAATTTGCAGTCAACTAATTCGAATTTCAAACGTTCATAGAATATTAAAAACAACTTTTACTTTTCACATAGTTATGAGCATGCAATTATAATTTGGACGCCTAACGCGCCTTCAACTGAGTGCCTTGTTAGTCAATAAGTAACGTGTGTTCGTTCACTTCTTGCATTGCACGGAAAATACAGAGAAGCACGTTTTGTGCCGTTAGGGTACTACTTAAAACAAATATTCTGAAAGTTTCAAAGTGCTATTTTGTGGCTGTCAAAATGTTATATCGCATAAAGTATGTGACAGGATTTATGCTACGTATTGTGCAATTGTTTTTTTTTACATTTGGGACTTGCTTGCATTATTTTTATTTTCTTGTGGACAATTGCCTTTGCATGAATTGGAGCTCAAGCGTGAACACTATTCATCTGAGAATGAATGCGTGTGAGGTGGTCCTCCATCTCCACATTCTGATGGCAGGGCCCACTTTAGGCCCGACTGTGAACTTGGCAAGTTCCTGATCGGGGCTTAGGGAACTCTGTCACAACATCAGCCGTGCTGAGAAGATCATAATGACGATACGTGTATAAAAGTGACAATTTGAAACGTTTTATTGCTAGTGGTTGAATGGAGTTTAATAAGAAAAAAATATATACTAATTGTTTGAACGTGCACGAATAAGCTGTGGTGGTGGTGGAGTGATGGTGCAGTGTGTCACACACTGCGATGAGACAGGCAACCTGAGAAAGTGGTATCTGAACAACAAGAACAACACAATAACAACAACACAATAGCAACAACCTAATTATATAACGTGCCGTTCATGCAAATAGCATCTCAAAAACAGTGCAGGTAAC